GCATTGCGATGTTTAGATAGGGAAAAACTTGCATTGCAATGATCGGTAAGCGTTTCGCTTACCGATCTTCGCACTGCGATGTTTACAGAACAGCTGATCGGCGGTTCCAAAATGGCCGCCAGACGCCCAAAATGGCCACCTCAAGTGTTTTCGTGCCTTGCCCTCGCTTACCGAGGGCGCAAAAATGGCGGCGTTATGGAGGAACATCGCTGAACGGTGAGTTTAGGTCCCCATAGGAATGCATTAAACTAAGTTTAATGGGGTTTTTCGATCCGTTTAGCGATGTTTCTGCATAGTGATGATTAATCTGGAACGGATTAACGTCGCTATGCGGGGCACCACTGGTACTTGAATTTCGCTGCCAGCTGTGGTGAGAAATGTTATCACCTGTGCAGAATATTGATAGTTCTGTGCAGTACTGTACTGACCGATGGGGAAACCCTGCACAGAATTCCACAAATGTATGTACAGGATTTAGCTTGGAAATAAAGATCACTATTTTTGGCTTGGGAGTTTCAGCAAAGAGAAAGAAAACGAAGAAGAAAAATTTGAAGGGAGCTGTGAGAAATAAAACCAAGAAGGTTTATAGCCCTAAAAGAAGTAATGCTTTTATTTTATAACTCAATAGAATTATTCTTCATCCTTTATTAAGTGAATATTATCCCACTGGTCAGAACTATTGTCCGACTCCAGGGCGCGCTGCTCTTCTCCGTTTCCAAGCCACAGAGCCGGCGTTTGTCCAAATACTGTTTTCATGGTCTCATGGCTGGCGTGACTAGACACGGAATGCCCGTTACCTTCCCACTGAGGTGGTACCTGTTTATCTACTCGTATTTGCATGCTTTCAAACTGCTAGGTTGGCAGGAACTGGGACAAGCAATGGGAGCTCACTGCATCGTGTGGATTCGATCTTATGACTGCTGGTCTTATGACCCTGCAGCACAGTGGCTTCTGCGGTTTAACCCGCGGCGCAACCACATCCCTTAATGTTTCCCCTACAAAACCACAAAGGACTGAGAGCTGACAAGAAATGGGAGGCTCTCCCCCAGAGGCAAGCCTGGGAAGAGTGGTGTGGACTCCTGCAACCGACCTCATTGGTGTAGATGGCTACAGTGATTTCTCCAGTGGAAACCAGCAGCGTCTCAGTTTGAAAAACTTGAAGCCAAGCTAGGTTTTCCTCATTGTGTAGTTGGACCCAGACATGGGAGCTACCTTGTGACAGAGCATTGCACAACCATTCATGTAAGCAGTTATGGAACAGAAATTTCATGCCCATTACATGCACTGTGCAATGAAGCAGGGCCTCTCCAAAAGCACAAAGGGTTGTGCAACATTTATGCATGTAGTACATTTATGCTCACTCCATCGCATGGATTCAATCTCACGACGGCTGGTCTTCTGACCTTGCAGCACTGAGGCTTCTGCGGTTTAACCTGCAGCGCCACTACGTCCCTTACAAAGCCCCATTAGCCTCTACTATAATGAATGGGGAAGTCTCTGCCTGCAAAATACTGACACTAAATAATATAGTTACTTCTACAACCTGTGCATTCCTTCCATACCTTGTATGTGTGTGTGTGTAAGACATGGCTGCTTGTACAATGTCTACTAGAACATGCTCAGCCTCTCAGTCTAAGTTTGAAGCTGCTTTCAGTTAATATATTTATTCAGCTTCCAGTATCCTGAAATTTGAATCTCACTTGATGTTCATGGTTTCAGTTAAGCAAGCTAAAAATAGAAGTTTTAAAAAGTGTTTACCCCCAGTTCAATGCCATAAAATCTGCATTAGTGAGTCAGTTCAAAACCAAGTATAAACTGGTACCATGATTGGATCAGGCTTTTCTCAGTGCTGTCTTGGTTCCAGATTACATCTAGGTAACATCGAAGAAACACACATAGTTCTTGATTTCCTTTTTTGGAGAGTATTTCTTCAGAATTAAATGAACCACAGAGAATCCTTGTTACATACAGACATTCTTGACCAACATGGCTCTCTTCCCTTTCCTTTTTATTTGTTTGCTTGTTTGTTTGTTCACTTAGAATAATTATATTCCATCTTATATCCTGAGGTCCCTTAGCAGACTCAACAAAAGCAACATAAGTTTAAAAAAACAAAAAACAAATCAAGCCGTATAAAATGGTACAACAGCAAAGGCCCTGTTAGATGTGTTTAATGAAACTGATCAAACTCAGCGTCAGGAGCTGTCAACGTTTTAATTTTTAAAAGGGAAGAAAAATGAAAAGAAAATGCACATAACAGTTAATTTGTCTGTGATGTTGATGATTTTAAATAAGTACAGGAAAGTCACTGTGTTGTAGTGCAGTGGTCCTCAACCTTGGGCCTCCAGATGTTCTTGGACTACCACTCCCAGAAGCCTTCACCACCACCTTGACTGGCCAGGATTTCTGGGAGTTGAAGTCCAAGAACTTCTGGAGGCCCAAGGTTGGGGACCACTGTTGTAGTGGATAGAGGGTTAGACTAGGATTTGAGGGCACATGGGTCAAAATCCCTACTTGGCCAAGGAAACTTAGTGGTGGCAAGGAGAACCATTCCTTGAATTTCTCACAAACCTAGTAGGGTTGCCATAAGTTGAGGAACAATAATATAGAACTTTGAGGACGCTGGGACTAGTTACTTGAGGATGACATGGGGGCCAGCTTCTGAGCATTGTCCACTGCTG